GAATATATTTTGCGAGGAGGTCGATGATGCGTTGATGACCTCTTTACAAATCATGTTCTCCTAATAACGCAAGCGTGAAAATTTTCGAAAATTCGTTTCTTATAATTTATATTATCAGGAGAATATATTTTGCGAGGAGGTCGATGATGCGTTGATGACCTCTTTACAAATCATGTTCTCCTAATAACGCAAACGTGAAAATTTTCGAAAATTCGTTTCTTATAATTTATATTATCAGGAGAATATATTGTGCGAGGAGGTCGATGATGCGTTGATGACTTCTTTACAAATCATGTTCTCCTTAATAACGCAAGCGCGAAAATTTTCGAAAATTCGTTTCTTATTAATTTATATTATCAGGAGAATATATTTTGCGAGGAGGTCGATGATGCGTTGATGACCTCTTTACAAATCATGTTCTCCTAATAACGCAAGCGTGAAAATTTTGAAAATTCGTTTCTTATAATTTATATTATCAGGAGAATATATTTGCGAGGAGGTCGATGATGCGTTGATGACCTCTTTACAAATCATGTTCTCCTAATAACGCAAACGTGAAAATTTTCGAAAATTCGTTTCTTATAGTTTATATGATCAGGAGAATATATTGTGCGAAGAGATCGATGATGCGTTGATGACCTCTTTAAAAATCATGTTCTCCTAATAACGCAAACGTGAAAATTTTCGAAAATTCGTTTCTTATAATTTATATTATCAGGAGAATATATTTTGCGAGGAGGTCGATGATGCGTTGATGACCTATTTACAAATCATGTTCTCCTAATAACGCAAACGTGAAAATTTTCGAAAATTCGTTTCTTATAATTTATATTATCAGGAGAATATATTTTGCGAGGAGGTCGATGATGCGTTGATGACCTCTTTACAAATCATTTTCTCCTAATAACGCAAGCGCGAAAATTTTCCAAAATTCGTTTCTTATAATTTATATTATCAGGAGAATATATTTTGCGAGGAGGTCAATGATGCGTTGATGACCTCTTTACAAATCATGTTCTCCTAATAACGCAAGTGTGAAAATTTTCGAAAATTCGTTTCTTATTATATTATATTATCAGGAGAATATATTTTGCGAGGAGGTCGATGATGCGTTGATGACCTCTTTACAAATCATGTTCTCCTAATAACGCAAGCGTGAAAATTTTCGAAAATTCGTTTCTTATTATTTTATATTATAAGGAGAATATATTTTGCGAGGAGGTCGATAATGCGTTGATGACCTCTTTACAAATCATGTTCTCCTAATAACGCAAGCGTGAAAATTTTCGAAAATTCGTTTCTTATAATTTATATTATCAGGAGAATATATTGTGCGAGGAGGTCAATGATGCGTTGATGACCTCTTTACAAATCATGTTCTCCTAATAACGCAAGCGTGAAAATTTTCGAAAATTCGTTTCTTATAATTTATATTATCAGGAGAATATATTGTGCGAGGAGGTCAATCATGCGTTGATGACCTCTTTACAAATCATGTTCTCCTAATAACGCAAACGTGAAAATTTTCGAAAATTCGTTTCTTATAATTTATATTATCAGGAGAATATATTGTGCGAGGACGTCAATCATGCGTTGATGACCTCTTTACAAATCATGTTCTCCTAATAACGCAAACTTGAAAATTTTCGAAAATTCGTTTCTTATTATTTATATTATCAGGAGAATATATTTTGCGAGGAGATCGATGATGCGTTGATGACCTCTTTACAAATCATGTTCTCCTAATAACGCAAGTGTGAAAATTTTCGAAAATTCGTTTCTTATTATTTTATATTATCAGGAGAATATATTTTGCGAGGAGGTCGATGATGCGTTGATGACCTCTTTACAAATCATGTTCTCCTAATAACGCAAGCGTGAAAATTTTCGAAAATTCGTTTCTTATTATTTTATATTATAAGGAGAATATATTTTGCGAGGAGGTCGATAATGCGTTGATGATCTCTTTACAAATCATGTTGTCCTAATAACGCAAACGTGAAAATTTTCGAAAATTCGTTTCTTATAATTTATATTATCAGGAGAATATATTTTGCGAGGAGGTCGATGATGCGTTGATGACCTCTTTACAAATCATGTTCTCCTAATAACGCAAACGTGAAAATTTTCGAAAATTCGTTTCTTATAATTTATATTATCAGGAGAATATATTGTGCGAGGAGGTCGATGATGCGATGATGACCTCTTTACAAATCATGTTCATCCTAATAACGCAAACGCGAAAATTTTCGAAAATTCGTTTCTTATAATTTATATTATCAGGAGAATATATTGTGCGAGGAGGTCAATGATGCGTTGATGACCTCTTTACAAATCATGTTCTCCTAATAACGCAAGCGTGAAAATTTTCGAAAATTCGTTTCTTATAATTTATATTATCAGGAGAATATATTGTGCGAGGAGGTCAATCATGCGTTGATGACCTCTTTACAAATCATGTTCTCCTAATAACGCAAACGTGAAAATTTTCGAAAATTCGTTTCTTATAATTTATATGATCAGGAGAATATATTGTGCGAAGAGGTCGATGATGCGTTGATGACCTCTTTACAAATCATGTTCTCCTAATAACGCAAACGTGAAAATTTTCGAAAATTCGTTTCTTATAATTTATATTATCAGGAGAATATATTTTGCGAGGAGGTCGATGATGCGTTGATGACCTCTTTACAAATCATGTTCTCCTAATAACGCAAACTTGAAAATTTTCGAAAATTCGTTTCTTATTATTTTATATTATCAGGAGAATATATTTTGCGAGGAGATCGATGATGCGTTGATGACCTCTTTACAAATCATGTTCTCCTAATAACGCAAGCGTGAAAATTTTCGAAAATTCGTTTCTTATAATTTATATTATCAGGAGAATATATTGTGCGAGGACGTCGATGATGCGATGATGACCTCTTTACAAATTATGTTCTCCTAATAACGCAAACGCGAAAATTTTCGAAAATTCGTTTCTTATAATTTATATTATCAGGAGAATATATTGTGCGAGGAGGTCGATGATGCGTTGATGACCTCTTTACAAATCATTTTCTCCTAATAACGCAAGCGCGAAAATTTTCCAAAATTTGTTTCTTATAATTTATATTATCAGGAGAATATATTTTGCGAGGAGGTCGATGATGCGTTGATGACCTCTTTACAAATCATGTTCTCCTAATAACGCAAGCGTGAAAATTTTCGAAAATTCGTTTCTTATAATTTATATTATCAGGAGAATATATTGTGCGAGGAGGTGAATGATGCGTTGATGACCTCTTTACAAATCATGTTCTCCTAATAACGCAAGCGTGAAAATTTTCGAAAATTCGTTTCTTATTATTTTATATTATCAGGAGAATATATTTTGCGAGGAGGTCGATGATGCGTTGATGACCTCTTTACAAATCATGTTCTGCTAATAACGCAAGCGCGAAAATTTTCGAAAATTCGTTTCTTATAATTTATATTATCAGGAGAATATATTGTGCGAGGAGGTCAATGATGCGTTGATGACCTCTTTACAAATCATGTTCTCCTAATAACGCAAACGTGAAAATTTTCGAAAATTCGTTTCTTATAATTTATATTATCAGGAGAATATATTTTGCGATGAGGTCGATGATGCGTTGATGACCTCTTTACAAATCATGTTCTCCTAATAACGCAAACGTGAAAATTTTCGAAAATTCGTTTCTTATAATTTATATTATCAGGAGAATATATTGTGCGAGGAGGTCGATGATGCATTGATGACCTCTTTACAAATCATGTTCTCCTAATAACGCAAGCGTGAAAATTTTCGAAAATTCGTTTCTTATAATTTATATTATCAGGAGAATATATTGTGCGAGGAGGTCAATCATGCGTTGATGACCTCTTTACAAATCATGTTCTCCTAATAACGCAAACGTGAAAATTTTCGAAAATTCGTTTCTTATAATTTATATGATCAGGAGAATATATTGTGCGAAGAGGTCGATGATGCGTTGATGACCTCTTTACAAATCATGTTCTCCTAATAACGCAAACGTGAAAATTTTCGAAAATTCGTTTCTTATAATTTATATTATCAGGAGAATATATTTTGCGAGGAGGTCGATGATGCGTTGATGACCTCTTTACAAATCATGTTCTCTTAATAACGCAAACTTGAAAATTTTCGAAAATTCGTTTCTTATTATTTTATATTATCAGGAGAATATATTTTGCGAGGAGATCGATGATGCGTTGATGACCTCTTTACAAATCATGTTCTCCTAATAACGCAAGTGTGAAAATTTTCGAAAATTCGTTTCTTATTATTTTATATTATCAGGAGAATATATTTTGCGAGGAGGTCGATGATGCGTTGATGACCTCTTTACAAATCATGTTCTCCTAATAACGCAAGCGTGAAAATTTTCGAAAATTCGTTTCTTATTATTTTATATTATCAGGAGAATATATTTTGCGAGGAGGTCGATGATGCGTTGATGACCTCTTTACAAATCATGTTCTCCTAATAACGCAAGCGTGAAAATTTTCGAAAATTTGTTTCTTATTATTTTATATTATCAGGAGAATATATTTTGCGAGGAGGTCGATAATGCGTTGATGACCTCTTTACAAATCATGTTCTCCTAATAACGCATTTAAAAAAAAAAAAAAAAAAATTTCGCGAACAATTAATGTTCGAAATAATTTACGCATTGCCATCCGCGTTTTGTGGGCTCTTAATGCTCTTTACTTAATTATCATGTTGATAAATACATAGAGCCGTATTATTTACCAATTTATTTTGAAAAATATTTATTTCATCTTTGAATATTACAGTATCTGTCGCGATTGAATAATTTATTTATTATCAATTTACACACATAAGTATTTAATTGTTATATAGCACTGGTGCTACCGGCATTTCGTGCACATAGCACGGAACAAAACCAGAAATTGTGCAATTATATATTACCCTCTGAGAACATTCATGGACTTAGACTTTGTAGTTCATGTCCATGTTTTGAATGTCCATAGAGGGAGTATCACTTTTGGGGTCACTCCATAGCTTGGACATGAACCATAGCTCAGACACGAACCATGTATTATTATCGACCTTAATGGATGCAGTTGACGTCCACTTTGTCAGGGAGCGCATTAGGACAATATACCCGTTAAAGCGAGGTGGCCGCTTTCAGGTTTCTCTCTGCATAGAGATTTTGGAAAAATTTTACTAATTACGTTTGTTTCCAAAAAGTGGATAATATAATATTATGTCATTATTCGTTTAACGCAAAATTTCAATGGCCGAGCAGGAGATTGATTGTATTTTCTGTAAAATTATCAGAAATGAAGAGCCGAGTGAAAAAATTTACGAGGTACGAATAACTTTTAATGCATTTTTTTGACAGCTAGAAAAAAAGCTCTTGAAATGTCAAATAAAGCAAGTTTAATTTGATTTAATGGTTTTTCCTGTATGTATTCTTGTTCCTTATAAACAAATATATGTGCATTTAATATATATAATTTATATATGTGATACATTTTTTTATATTTTATTTGGATATATATAGAAATATATACATTTCTCTGTGGTTTTCTTATTGTAGGATGATGATGTCACATGTATTAAAGATATCAATCCAGTATCAACACATCATTATTTAATATTACCAAATAAACATATACGCAATGCAAAAGAACTTAAACCTGAAGATTCTGATCTTTGTAAGTATTATTAATTTATATATATTTTTAAATACATAATTTATATAGTAGAACATCTGTTTGTCATTATGTTAATAATTATTCATTACTTATTAATTATTTTATGCTAATTAAATGTTTTTAAAAAATCAAAATTTTTCTTTCTCAATCTTTTATAAAAATGTATATTATAAATGTACATTATAATGCAATTATGTATATGAAAATAGTAATTGGATAAAATCTTATTTTTTTAATCTGAATTTCAGTTAATAAAATTGTTGCCACAGTAGACATTATCTCAGAAAAATTGAATCTTAATCCTGCGTCTACACGAACAGGATTTCATTGGCCACCATTTAATACAGTTAATCATTTACATCTACATGTTATTTCTCCAATAGAGAAAATGAATTTAATGAGAAAAATGATGTTTAAATATAATTCCTATTGGTTTGTGAGTGTAAGTATGAAATTTTATTATATATTGCAAATACTATGCAAAAAAAATTACTACACATTGCCAACTTCTTTTTACAGACTGACTATGTCAAGTCTTGCTTAGGAAATTGTAAATTATAAAGTATTATAAATTATAAAGTATTATAATATTATTTGCAATACTTTTCTTCATATGGCAACAATATAAAAAATTTGTATAATTTATGAGTGAAGCATCTTATGCAAATACATAAAATAATTATAAAATTTGCTAAAAACTATAGGTTCATAAATTAATTAAAACAATATATATGATTTATTATGTGTATATACAGATAAAGATATTGTTTGTATATAAAGATATATGAATGTATTTTATAATTTATTCGAATTTAAAAAATGTACATAGATATACAGAATGTTTTTGATAATGATTTATAAAGGTTTATATAAATTCTTTACAAATTTGATTTTATGTTTTCTTTCAAACTTTTTCACTCACTTTTATTTAATTTCCAATAATTGCCTTCTGGATAAGCATACTCCAAAATACACTCGTCCTTAAGCTTAGTTGAATATCCAGGACGAGAAGGTGGCATATAACAAGCATTTTTTATACAAACAGGATCTTCAAATTGTTCATGTTGTTGATCCACATATTCTATCATACGATCTTCATTGGTTTGGCTTAAACAAATGTAATCCCACATTTGAAGATGTTGAACCATTTCGCACAAACCTACTCCACCAGCATGTGGGCATATTGGTACTAAAAGAATAAAAAAAGATAAAGAGAATAAAAAAGATTTTCCATTATATTTTTTACTTTTCTAAATCAAATTAATTACAAATTCGCATCATAGTTATCTGCTGGAATATTCTTGAAAAATTAAGTATTATTATTTACGAACTTATTCTTCGAACTTACAGTTTTTTATATGTGCCATGAAATATACGGCCAAAATTTCATTAATCCCGCCAATCCTTGCCGCGTCGATTTGACAATAATCAATCCCCATCTCCAAAAATTGTCTAAACATGACGCGATTCGCGCACATTTCACCGGTAGCAAGCTTGACTTTTTCCTTTAGTCTTTCTCTTATTTGACCATGTCCCCAACTATCGTCGGGAGACGTCGGTTCCTCTACCCAGAAAGGTTTATATATCGCCAATCTGTCTATCCATTCTACCGCCTCATCTATTTCCCAGACTTGATTCGCATCCAGCATCAATTTTTTCTCAGGGCCTATGACTCGGCGCACTATTTCGCATCTTCTAATATCATCGTCTAAATTCTGACCCACTTTTATTTTGAACGCCGTAAAACCGCGTTCCAAGGACGAATTACAGAGATCTACAACTTGTTCATCACTGTAACCCAGCCATCCGACTTGAGTTGTGTACGCGGGAAATCCTTTTTTTTGCAGCTCCGATTCTTGATGCTCTTTCTGTTTCATATTATTCTCAAGTATCTGTATCGCCTGCTCCTTGGTCACTACACTCTTACTGCAAAAACAAGTATTTATTCAAAATTTTGTCAGAGTATGCAATTTCGTATAAATAATTTTTCGGCTCACATATATCGAAAATCGATAGTGGAAACGAGCTCTTTGGGCGACATGTCTGTAAGAAGCTTCCAGACAGGTTTGTTTTCGATACGTGCCCATAAATCCCACAATGCGTTTACGATAGCGGCTGTAGCTAAATGTATCACACCCTTCTCCGGTCCAATCTAAGATATCCAAATTACATTCTGATATATAGTCATCATATATACTTCAATAAGTATGTATATGTACATCACTTTTTATTATACGTTACCCATCTTAATTGTGTGTCACATGTTAATTTTCTCCAGTATAACGCAAAATTGCTAAAAATCTTCGTTGTTTTTTTATTTTTTATAATTTTAAACAAGGATTTACATGCCAGTACAACTATAAAAATTGTTATCAACAATAAAGAAATAGTCTATATACACATAAGGTCAATAGACATACCAATTTCAGTTCCCCTTCCTAGAGTAAATGTGAGGCCATACCCTTCATATTCTGTGTCTGTTATGATCGTTACATATGCACAAGAGTAATCAGGATCAGTATGCTGTTATAAATAAAAATTAATAATATTGCAAATCAATAGAATTTTTTAACAATGATATATATAGAAGTAAGATAATTAATGGGTTAAACCAAACATATTAATATGTTATTAAGTAGATTAATAGTAATTATATTATTTGTATTATCGTGAACGTAAGAATATTTGATATTTAAAATTATATTTACACAATTTTTTCAGCATATAATTTACAATTTTTCCAGCACAAAATATATCATTATACATATTAATTAATAATACATATATATTAACCATTGCGTCGCTTCCATGGTAATGTAATGATGTCGGAAATCTTATGTCTTGCACTTTGATATCGATAATTTTTGCATCGATCATTTTTCTAAATTATGGACGTTAAATAATTTTGAACCGAATACAATACAATTGCGACATTAACTGAACAGCAATTGAAGTTAACTCTAATGTAATGTGAGACAAACATCGTCATAAACATCATGATGTATCTTATCTTCTTATATAAATATTTGGGATGTAAAATATCACGTGATATATCTACCACAAGTACAATATCTTATCTAAAGATGAGTGATTTTTTAAATTATTTATAAAAAGAAAATGTATTGCTGCGTTACCATAGATAACAATTAAACATAGATCACATGTTGTAATTCGAGTTTGCATATGTCATTCAATGTTTCAAAATTCTTAACGTTATATTTCGAATTTGCGTATGTCACTCGTTATCAACGATGTTTTGAGCCTAATAGTTTCACAGTTTTAATAAAAAAAGCATAAAAATAAATATGAAACTAAAACTGTCCTTTATCTTTATTTGAAAATTCTTGTAAAGAATAGTTCTTAATCGCATTTTGTGCTTTTCTTTAAAAAAAATATGATTTGCAATGTTTGTAATTTGCATTAATCTATGACGTGTATTTTTATCAATTAATACTGTATACGTGTCATGTATGTGTATATATTTCTCTCTCTCTCTCTCTCTCTCTCTCTCTCTCTCTCTCTCTCTCTCTCTCTCTCTCTCTCTCTCTCTCTCTCTCTGTCTCTCTCTATGTACATATTTTTAATTTAAAAATGCTTCGTTAGAATAAATACTAAGCAATTTGATTTGATTTTACCGGCAGTGCCCAAAAATAAATATGATGTAATTCTATGTAATTTCTAGAATAGAAATAGATGGCAGTATTAAACGGGTAGGCTTGAGAGAGAGAGAGAAAACATCACGTCGCAATAATTCGTGATCAGCACGTGTGAATGTACGTTATGAATAAGTTGTTGTAAAATAAGAGGAAAATGTATTTAGATCCGGAGCTGCCGAGTCCTTTTGAGATCATAGTGGGAACGTACGAGCAATATCTGCTCGGATACAAGGTCCATAACATCGTAAATGTAAGTAAATTTCGCACGCATGCATCAGGCTAATGTTCAATTTGTATCGGTTATACATCGTGCAATATTTTTAATCAATTTCTAAATGTCTAGTGGTGGCATAAAAAATACAAGAATAAAAACACATAATTTAAATTATACCTTTCAAATTAAAATAGTTTAAGCTAAAATTTTTTTTTATATTTCCAGGAATATAACATTGAAAAGAGTTTTGCAACTCACAGCCATGTTGCAAGCATACGCAGTGTTTCCAGTAATAAATACTACCTAGCTTCTGCTGGTGCTGATGAAACAGTATGTTTGTATGACATGCGTTCTAGGAGAGAATCTATTAAATTAATGCATCATAAAGGTACATACATAAATTCATATGTCTGCCTGTATCTATAATATAACAAAATAAATTTATACTAAAATAATGATCTTTATGTTTTATCTGCAGATACTATTAATTGCGTAGCATTTACTCCAGATGGGTCCCACTTATTTACATGCAGTAGCGATGGAAGTATAAGTGCTATTCGTTGTGGTAATTGGCAACTGGATAAACACTGGCTAACAGCGCATAAAGGTTCTGCCGTCAATATTTTTGCTATTCATCCAACAGGAAAGCTAGCGTTATCTACTGGAGAAGATGGTGTGCTTAGAACGTGGAATCTGGTCAAAGGTAGACAAGCTTATGCTACTAACTTAGTACCGAAATTGAAATCTGATGCCAAGTGGATAACAATCATTAAGTGGAGTCCGAGTGGTGAACAATATCTATTAGCTATTAATAGTAATATATATGTATACTCTGTAGAATCAGCTAGCATAGATAGGGAACTTACATTTGATTCAAAGGTTATTTGCGTAGAATTCTTAAAAGATACTTTAATCGCGATTGGTTTTGAGAATGGCGAAATCAAATTCTGTGATCTCAGAACTTCGGTGCATACAGTGAATACAAAGGCGCATAGTATGAGAGTAAAATGTATCGCACATATGAATGACTTATTAGTAAGTGCTTCCAGTTCTGGAGAGATCAAACTTTGGAAATATAACAAGCATAATTTGGATATGTTGCAAACTGTTAATTGTGGTGCTAGAATTACTTGTCTTTGTCTGACACAAACCTATAAAGATTTAATACAACAAGAAGAAGTTAAATTAGATGAAGACAAGGAAGTAAAAGGGAAGAACAAGTTCAGATTGAAACAGGAAGTTATTATTGAAAATGAAGGCGATTGGGAAGTCACAGACGTTTCAAATCCTAAAAAAGGAACGTTAAAAATAAAACATAAAAGAAAGAGAACTACAGAAGATAATGTTCAGAGTTTAAAAAAGAAAATTCCAGAATTGAAAGAAACTATTGCTTTAAAAAGGAAGAAGAATATATTGTCGCAGACAGAAGATTCTGTTAATGATAAACCAACAAAGAAGCAAAAGTTATTAAAAGCAAACTCTTCCAAAAACGAAAAGAAACGGAAAGAGAACAGTGCTGCATCGCAAGTCACTTTGCCAATAAAAAAAATGAAAAAAATGGATAAACTCGATGAACCATCTCTCTCTCGCAAAAAGCACAAAGTAAAATTACCAATAACAGATATCGAAGATGTTTCACCTAGGAAGATAAAGAAAAAAGTGAATGCGGAAAAAGAAGTCGTACTAAAAAGGAAAAAAAAGAAGATAACACAATAAAATAGGAGGAAGAAGTCTCTTTATAAAAGTTATTATTCTCTACCGTGTGATATTTACATGATAAGCTTAAGGCTAAGAATAGCGCCTAAGAGTATATAATAAATTACTCGCTAGTTCCTATAATTGTAAATCAGTCTATTTACAATTTCTTAAAATTATCACTGCACCAACAACTGTTCTTCTTTCACGATGTATATTCAGCTTGAATGAAATAACAGTTTCTGGCATCATTGCGTTATTTTGTACCATTCGAAAATAACACGAATAGAATATCTACCACAGGATACACTTGTGCGCTGGATTCATTGGACTGCCGAGCGGGCATCTCCACGCTCTTGCGAATTCCGCGTTGTTCGATAACGTGCCGATAACACGAAAATGATTCGGCGCATGGACACCCTCTATCACCTTGGACTTTAACGCTCCGTTTGTGTAATTGCCACACCAGACCTTAAAAAAGAGATTAGCCTATTCATAATTTTTGATCTTGTGAATCCTATGTTAATGAGAATTATGAAATCTTCATTTGCATAAAGCTCATACACTCATTTAAGATACATGTAAATTTGTTTTAAACAAGTTTTTTTTATTAACTTGACAAGAAATCTTGTGATCTTAGCGACATAAATTTTTTGCTTATACGTCGTTCAAAGCATACAAATGAGCTTCTGGAGAAACTTTTTATATAATGTATTATGTTTCGACTTAGCAAATCTGGCTTATAAATTGTTTCAGACTTAATGTTTCTCGATAAACGAGGAAATATTTATTATTACACTTTTAAATAGGAATAATTTTTAGATTTAAATCTAAGTTTAAATTTAACTGTAATTTTAAATGTAACAAAGTATTTAAGCATAATGTGTACAGAATCTTTTCTCTTTTATAACATTGCCACTCTTAACTTATTAACTTTTAAATTAGTCTCCCTCTATTCGGTACAAATTGTCTTGTATTTTTCAGCAGAGAGCTATCTGTCCGTATGTCTTTTCGCCATTAAAAACTCATTTGACAGAGAATAAAAATGAATTATTATCTTCGCTAACTTGAAAAGCGCTTTTTTTTACCTGAGCGAAACCCAAGAAGAACAGCTGTTCGTTGCTGTAATCGACAAGACCTGGCAGAGCTTGCTGATACGGATTACGCGCAATCAGCCTTTGATATGCTCTGTAAGCTTCCCTAATGCCACCGTTGTCAGCGATATTTTCGCCCTGAGTATTGATGCCGTTCACCTGAAAAGCAATCGAGAATGAGAAGCGCCTTGGCACTCTTCTTCTTTCGATAAACTTTCAATGAACAACGAGTTTGCTTGGTACTCACTGTGAAATTATCGCCCAACTCCGGCAAATAATAACTACTATACTGCTCGATCATACACTGCACTTTGTCGTGATAGTGTCGTAACGTCTCGTCGCTCCACCATTGACGAAGATTGCCGTTCTCATCGTACCTGCGACCTGTGACATAGAAAATCGTATAATTCTAAATATTATTATGCGGATATTTTAGTATTAAAGAAAGATAGATTAATAGCCAGTTTAGCGATATTGTGCAATATGCATCATGTCGCCGATTATCGCACCTTGATCATCGAAACCATGCGTAAGCTCGTGGCCCATGATGGCTCCCATAGCGCCATAATTGATGGATCTGTATTACATAATATTAGAATTTCGAGATTTATACGATAAAGATAATTTGAATATAATACAGAGATATATATCTCTTTATTTTTGTTTAAAAATGTATCTAACAGATCAAATAGTGTTGTATAGATTAATATGTAAAAGTTAAAACAGCGTGATTTTTCAGCAGTCGCTGCATAAAATATATATCTTATTAAATAATATAGAGGACAATTAGAGAGGAAGAGAAAATCCGTCATAAATAAAAACGCTAATTAAATGAAATATGAGTTCATGAAAATTTTGCCTCTTATCTGTAAAATATCTACGTAAAATTTATACGTACTCCAGTCCATTGCCATAAAATGGAGGATGTAAAATACCAGCTGGAAAAGCTAAAATCACATTTCTTCTTAATTCTAACTTATGAGTTGAGTAATTAAATTAGTATTGTGAAAATGATAATGGACATAAACGACTATTTTAATTAAAGGGAAAGAAAGATTAACTTGGATACTTACTAACTGAATTTAATATGGCGCTATAAAACGCGTTTACCGTCGTGCCCGTTGATATCCACCTGCTTCTGTCAGGCTTTTCGCGCAAATTATTGAAACTCTTTTTCATCGCCACATCGGTCAGTTTTAAAAAAGTTTCGAATAATTTTCCATCGATTATCTCCACCTAAAAAAACCATCGGGACGTTGCGGGGGAGGTTGCAGCAGAATTAAAATTATAAACGATACTTGTAACACACGTACTCCCTCGTAAAACTTGTCCAACTCTTTGGGATCCGTAATCCAATCGGGAAATCCCACAAACGGTCTCATCGCGTGTAACTTTCTATGGGCTCGAGATCTCGTGCCGGTATCCATCCAATCAAGTTCCGTAACCATTTCATCGAATGCTGCTCTGATATCCGATAACATCTCCAATGCCTATCGATAATGGCATATGATAATCAGTTACATAGAATAATTGACATTATTTTAACTTTATATATTTACATTTATTTAAATTTTTATATTTACTGAATATTGAATATTTTTATTATGTAGAATAATTGATATTATTTTTTTATATTTACAGAAAGTATTTCTTATAGTCTTACATATTAATTATATCATGTGCAATTGTTATGCACGAACCTTTTCTCGCGCTTGCTCGTTGAAGTATTTCTGCGCGTAAATATAACTAAGTGCCATGCCGAAGTTCGCATTGGCGTTTCCAGTGCATCCCTTCCAGCGAGGCGTCTTCTCCTTCAGTCCGAAGACCTTCTGCGAGAACTGGAAGCCGAGGTCCCGAAATTTTTGCAGCGTCAAGGGAGCAACCGTCGAGTACACGCTCCACCAGATGTATCGGACTGAAAAATCGATTGGATTTTTATAATTGTAAATACATCGCGAGATCAGAACACGGACAAAGCAATTATAACTATGCGCCTTTTTTAGAGCTTCCGATCTTTCTACCCTTTTGATCATCTTTTTATCTCCCATAGAAATTCTTATAATAGGATGCTCTGTCTCCCCTTTATAGATACAGAATATTATTTTTCTCCCCTTTATAGATATAGAATATTATTTTTCTCCCCTTTATAGATATAGAATATTATTTTTCTGTATCTATAAAAGGGAGAAAGAGCATCTTATTATAAAAAAAAATCTGTAGTTTATATATTTGAATCTATAAAAGTGTTCGCAATATTTCTCTTTCTTTTTATCTTATTGATGTTTTACTTATTGTTCTGTTTATTTTGTTTATACATATTATAGCAATAATTATTTATTATAATAATTATATATATTATTATATATTATTATCGATTGGATAGATTTTAGCGGAAATGCTTATTCGTCGTTGATTATATTTGAATGTATAAACGCGCGAAGAGGATGCTTCCGCATTACAAATGCAGGCAGCTCTCCTCTCTCGTGGTCGTAATGGAAGCAAAAGCAACTGGATGCAATCATTAAGTTGGGTGAGTATACATTATGCCGAGTGGCAATCGCCCTTGGTTGACGAGGACGCGTAAATTAAACGTACCTATCGTGGCGGGTTGCGTGTTGGACAGCAGCACTGGTAATTTCTGCAAATACTGCAGGTCTATTAAGATAACTCGATCTACGGTCGGATTTATGGTGACATTTGTGTTCTCGAATACAGATTCCAGATATATCGTCCAATTCCACTGAAACAACATTCGCGCGTTTGATTACTCATGATTACAATCTTCGCTCAAGTTGCGAAAAATAATTTTATACAAACATTAAGGAATCTTCCAATGTATATGATAGATATTAATTTGAAAAATAATTTTAATTTTTTCAATTATTATTTTTTATTGTTTGATAATATAATTTTAAATTCATTCCTAATAATTTCGATGAAGATGATGATCTTTTCATGCAACTTTAATTAGAGAATTTTGATCAAAGTTATATACTTAAGAATTTTGATTAGTTGCATATTTAAATTTTTCGATATATCTTTTTCTCACTATTTAATATTTCATAGCATTTAATTGTACTTTAAAATATTTATTATACTATCAATATTATTAAATTACTTATTTTTCATGCAAGTTGTGAATACTCTTGCTCGGAAATAAATAAAGAATTAATATCGCTTTACCTGCACCGCGTGCATATCCGTAAGTTGTTGCAGCTCATTGATCGTCACGTCGTGAAGAAGATGATCCGCGCTGCGTCGCTCCTCGGGTGTCGCCATGATCTGGACGGATTTCAAAACAATTAAACGTGTTCCTGAAATGATTATCCTCACATTGGAAGTTGAGTAATCGAAGGTAAAAGAATGTTTGATTATTCGCAATTATTGTCATACAATTCCATATTAGGATTATTGCACAACTTTTCGAGAGTATGTTGCCTTTAATATAAATATATATTTTAAAAATATTAATAAACATAAAATATAATTTGATAAAGCAAAGTACTTTGGCGAGTTTCGTGCCGAACTCTATGATCTCATTGGCATAATTCGCGCTCATGTTCCCAGCCCCTGCGAGCTCGACCATGGATTTTATGTACTTTCTATACTCCATCAATTCTAATTGAAATCGTCGTGGATCTAATAGATAACGCTCGCTAAATCCAGGAGATGCTTGCTCTATCTAAAAGAAATTTATTTTCTTCTTTTATACATTGTTGCGAAAATAATATATTTGCATCTTAGAAATATTTTTTCAAAAAGAACAAACACAATTCATTTATGATAAGAAATTATATTTAATTGAGAATAATTGAAAAAAGAATATACTAAAAATCTATCATTTTTTAAATTCCATTAATAAAAATATTGAAAATCACAAATTGAATAAAATTTTTTAAAAAATTCTAAATAGTATTCTATAAATTAATATGATTTTTGATATTCATATAAAAGAAATTTTCCATTTGTCTAAAAAAAAATTGTTCTTTAATTTCCCTGAAATTCAAATTTGTTTTTCTGCAATTATAATTTTCCATCATTGAATGAATCTTTTTTCTTAAAATTTATAAAATAAAATTTCACTCTCACCATCATTCGATTTCTTGTAGTGTCCTTAATGTCCTCACTGATGTAAAAATTAATAAAGAGATTTAAGCCCAACGCTCTCTGTGCTATCCCTGTTAATCTCGATATATCGAGAGAAGGTATATTACCCTGCATCGGCGGATCCTTTGGCAAGCCTAATTTATCGAGTACCTGAGAAATGGGTTGTAATCCTAAGGCCTCGACACTCGCTGCAATTCGATAAATTTTTCCGTAATAAAGATATGTTCTATTGTCGTTAAAATCTATGAAATCTTTTTTTAGTTAATTTAAATTGCGCGTAACACATTTCATATGAATTTACTTCCAGTTATTCGAGAGAAATCTAAAATGATGATACTTCTGTTTAAATCATTTACACGCTTGATTATGCGATTCATAAACGATCGTTCAGAGGCACGCGAGTTCCGGTTACTTCTTCGTAATAATAAAATCGTCAATTTATCCTATTACATTGTGACTAACACCATAATGTTAATTATATATTATGTGAGCCAAGATGTATTGTTAATTCTAAATTCTTTTATTTTTTTTATTTCTTATGTAAATGTCAGTTTATGCATTATATCTCTGCACGAAACGACAATTGCTTGAATAATTTATTCCATAATTTATGCCACTGTAAACAAATTACTAGAGTTCCGTTAACGGTTGCATCGCGAAGATATAATTAGTGTTTTCCTTCTTTGATATCGATCTTCGATACTCTTTATAATTTAATTCTTTAAGAATTCAAAAATTCTTGATATTTATTTTTTGAAAATATTCTTGTTATCTATTTTTTGAAAATATTCTTAATATCTATTATTGTCAATTTGATTATGTCATTTATATTATTCAATAACTTTAATCCTTAGGACTTACCGATATCCATACAGGTTTTATAAAGAGCTCTCGCTAATTTGACTGGCCTAAGATCGGTCTCCTTATCCGGTTCTTCTAGTAAAATTCTTAAATTCTCTAAAAGTTCCTCCCTAAGCAAACTTAGCTGATCCCAAAAGCTCTGACTTTGAGGAATCGGATGCTTGTTGATCCAACCGCCACATGCGAAATTGTAGAAATCCTTGCAAGGATCCACGGATTTGTTCATCGCGCCTATTACTCGCGCCGCTAAACAAACGGATTTATGCTCTTTATATTTCAGTATATTTCAGTTTCAGCATTATCGTAATCTCGAGTAAAAATCTCGATTATTATTACAGTAATAGAAACAACTTATCTTGATGAGAAGATTACTCAAATTTTTTCTTAAATAAAAGTTTACAGAATTTCGTATAATATTTATCATTATCTTTTCTTGAAATGTTAAAGAATAAATAAAATGAGGCGTCACATACCTGTCTTGATACATTCCTCGCTCTGACACATCTCCTTGTACTCTTCTTTGCGGAAGACCGCTATTTGCAACGTCAGTGCTACAATGAGAGCGATGACAGTCACTGCTAACAGTCCAACAACGATCACAAGCCTCATTTCCTTGCTGCTCGATTTCTTTTCATCTTTTTGATTATAATTCCTGTTGAGAAAAAGAAAGAATTTCGGTGATATATATCGTAATTGAAGAACTTATTCTCAAACTGTTCTGAATTTTATTAAAAAATGAATATCTATTATTAGATTTTCCACACTTTAGTAATATTTCCAGAGATTTTTAACTATCCTAATATTTTTATTATTAATCTCAGAATTTATCAAATGAAACATTAATCATCACTTTGTAAAATTAACAAGCATTAAATGAAAAAAAAGAAAGAATATAAAAATTGTTTGCACAAGCTTTATAAAGTTTTTGATAAAAAATAATATTGAAAGAGTCGCTTTAATTATATTTCCAATAGAAGATTAGGAAATTAATAAATAGTGATTCAAAATTAATATAAGAAATAATAGAATGTTATTGATTCTGAAACGAAAAGAAAATGCTAATTACCACGAAACATCAGAATTTCCTTTGGAAATTCCTCCGTTCTCCCCCGCATCTCTCTCATTGTCCTCTGGGTCGTTTACCTGCAAAAGAGAAACGATATATTGTACATCTATTGTGTTTTACTCTTTTTCTTTTTGTTCATTTTATTCATGATACGTGTCCATCGAAGAATGTAAAAGTATATACAGTTACTTGGGATGTGTTAATATACAAAACACGAAAATAACTTGATTGATAATTTCGATTAAAAAAATAATGTATCTTATGTGATTTAATTTGTGTTCCTCGAATCTTAGGAATATGAGAGATCAAAGTTCAACCAAACAGATGCATCTTATAAAATATAATCAGGAACCTTGAAGCACCAGAATGATTGACTCTTGTGTGAATCACGTGTTGAGAAAAAAAGTTCCACAAGGAAAAAAATTGTCTCTCCACAGAAAGTAAGAGAAATAAAAATGTAGGAAAAGTAAATTTTAAATACTACTTCTTTATTTATTCATTAAAATAAAAAAAATCAATGTCTAACAACAAAAAATGATTATCATATTGACTATCACATTGACTATCGCCGCGATAATAATGATCTACTATCCTGAATTTTGTTAGAATAGCGAAATATATTTTTAACATATATCAATTTTCTACTGGTATTAGATAAGGATAGAATGTGATGAGTTTTAATCGAACGATCGGTGCATCCAAAACGCTCTCATCTCGTTCACTCTGTAAGCGATGTCAAACTCTGCACATCTGGTCGGAACAAACCTTACATAAGCTTACATTAGCTTTTCATTTATTTTCGCGTCATTGCCGCGAATAGTTTCGACGAGTTTAATGGGGCGAGAATTGTCTGTCAACACAGGATATTGGGCACGAGGAGAATAATGTCCGAAGTAATTCCGTCGATTCTGGGACAAGGTAAAAGTATCAATCATACTAGTTTGATGCCGCGACAGATGATATTTTGTCGATTTAAACCGCGCAAAACAGTCGCTTCTATCTATAATTAGCGTAAGTGAAATAAGTCGGAAAGAATGATTTCATAGAACTCGATATTATCCTTCCGTATATAATGCTAAGAACACTCGGATACTCGACTAACTCTTTATACGAGAGCATATCCCATACTATCAGCTTGTCATAATGTAAATTATGCGCCATAAGTTTGAAGATTTGAAAATTTGCATTTATATGATATTTTCAAATTATGAAATTACTTTAAAAAATTAATGAAAACATAATGACGTAATAATATTCTTTATATTTTCAAAATAATTCTTCGAGTACTTATTTTAAGTTGGAAATTATCTTTTTGTGTTAAAAAACGTTCATAAAAAAATTAACATATTAAAAATATTACTTAATTCGAAATATGCTTTTTATATTTCTAAATTATATCTAATGTAGACAAAAATAAAAAAATCGCACTAATTAACGTACATCACATCTTCAAAGATTATCTAATTCCCAAGTCATTCTACTTTACTGACATCAATTAATATTAATTATGGCCAAATGAATGGTCCTTGTATGCGTATCTGCATTCTATAATCTGGGATCATAATCAATGTCAGAGACGTGAAATACTCAACTAAAATTAATGAATCAACAAGACACTATTGACATTGAAATTTCTTCATTTCTCCTTAATAAGGTAGTCTCACCTGTCATCTCCTAATTTTTATGACAAATATACATACTTTCTTCGTTTATTCGCATTATTTGATTAATCTTTTCATTTCCAATGACTTTAGTGAATATATTTTCTAAATTTATAATATACCATCATATAAAGAATATAGAGCTTTAATATTTATTTACAAATATAATTTCATATTAATATTTAAAGAATAATTTTTAAAGCTGTATGCTTTACAGAGATACGAAACAAAGAATGTTTTTTTTTTAAATCAAGAATTTCTATCTTAAAGTATTTAAGATTTTGAATAAAATATTCCTTAAGTCTGATTTTATCAACATCAACTAATTAATTTTTTTCGTTATTTAATTGATTCTTTCTTCTCGTAAATCATACATGATATATTGATCGTAATACGAGTAATGATAAAAACAATTTAGATAATTGCGATTGGCGCTAATTGACGTTAATGTAATAGGCTTCGAGCTTTCTAAAAGCCGGATTAACGCCTTCGTGTTTATAACCGCGAGACAAGAATCCGATTTTCCGCGCGCAGTAGAGATGCATCGGCTTGCGGCCGACAACGTTTCCATTATACGCGCTTCGACCTACCGAATCGACAGACTTTTGCGCGAGAAATACTCGAGCGCCGGCGCCCTTTTTTCCCTCGTTTTCTTCTTTCTATCTATCTATCGTGTATATAAACCGTATGGAATTGCGCAATCATGTATCTGTTATTCCAACTGCCTCTACACTCGATTAAACAGAGCGATTCTCTGCGAGATATCGTATACACACCATGATTCTTAGTTATTTTTAGCTATTTTCGCTGTTTACTTTTCGTCTTCTCCTCCTTAATCGCCTTCTCTCTAAAGCCTGAGTGAAAAAAAGTGCCACTATTGTACATTTATCAATTATTTAATATCTATTATAATGTATATCATATAATTCATTATTTATTAAGAAATAAAAAAGAATTGATTATTAATTATATATTTTATGAGAGAAAGAGAGATACAGCTCTTACTCTCCCTATTTTTTCTATCATAAATTTTACCATAAAATGATTAAAATTTATTATTTCTTCTAAAAATGAAATATAATAGAATAATATTTTTTATATTTTATATTCATTTTATATTTATTTGTCATACTTATTGTTTTTGTAGAATCACGCGTGAAATTACCAAAATTATTTTTTCCTTTCATTCTTCTTCGTCATGATATATAGCAATTTAATTTTTAATGGTCGCAATTATAAAGAGTAACATGTAATTTACGATCGTGAAAAATGCCAACTACACGTGGATTAATTACTTCTTTATATTCAATTCATATGAATTATGTCTCGCGCATATAGCGTGAAAATTCATGGAAACTCGAATAGGAAAATTACATTTCAGTTACATCAATAACTGGACATGTTTTTTACATTGATGATGTTTTTCACTGATAAGCACTCGCAAGTCGGCAATTGTCATCGGCTTCATGCTCGCTACCGATGGCGTGTCCTTGCAGCCAAGTAATTGTCATCCATCTAACATCGCTTCCGATATGGCGTCGTCGTCCTTGCGAGGATTTCACCGTTTAACGTCAAGTCAGAGATGTAAATCCCACCTAGCGATTAACAGCGCGTCTGACATTGAATTTTACGACGGATCGATAGAATTTCAATTCGTCCCAACGATCGTAATCGGAAGTACTCGACGAATTGGCTCACGTTCAAGCGCATCGCGACGAATATCTTCACGTATCTTTACGGGCGATCCGCTATTAAGTGGGATCATCGACGAACGATGACTGCTTTCATATGCACTTATTGATAACAGAAGTCATCGGGTGTATCTCTCGAAAGATTACACGTACATATTATTCGCGCCTAAGAAACTCCGCTATTTCCCTCCTTTGTTTCGCCGCGGAATATCGCGTATAATTAATCTCTTATGTTGATAGATGAATTCCTCCGATCGATGACGGATCATGCAATAAACAATCAGGGCCGTTGGTTAAGCATGCATAATTCACTCTTCTTTTCCCATATTTACATCACGGTAAGAATTACGACTTGGAGAGATAAAAATTGCAAAGAGAATGTTTATGTTTTTATTTCTCCACGCAATCAATGTCAGATTATGATATCAAAGTGAGAAATTATGTGAATTCTTTTTTTGCGTACATTCATGCACAATTTATGTTGAAAATTAATTAATTAATTAAGATAATTTTTAATATTAATTGAATTAATGTTTTAAATCTTGCGTCCAATAATATAGATGAATAAAATATGTATATCAGAAACTTCTTTTATTATTCTTCTTGCATTAGCAAATAAACGTATGTATAATTCAATCTGCATGTATCCAACAAAAATGAATCTTGTAATGAAATTTTATGGCTAGTCATTAATTGCTATGAATCTCTCCGACAAGAAAGTCATAATTACTCGGACGAAATCATTTTTCTTTAGAAGAATTTTAGTTTCATTTATGAAATCTAAATTAATGGTAAGAACTAATGTATTTTTGTCGAATTTCTAAATTTGAAAAGTAGATTGTACAAGTCATCTATAGCGATATAATCTTTGAATTTAAGATGATTAATTTTCACATAATTACTTCATTCTATCAAAGAAATAATTTCTTGCTAATTATTCTTCTTATTTTTGATCGCACATTTTTAAAAATGCCTATAAATATGTAACAATATGATAATTTATCAAATAATTAATTTCGAGCTAAAGATGAGCTCATTAAATATATGAGATATTAAAATATAAGATTTACCCGATAGCATCTGTATTAATATTGCATAATTAATTTTTTAACACGTACGATTAATTTTTATACATTTCTGTCAAAACAGATTTCAATCATCGAATTTTTTACTTTAGGTACAACAATTGTTCAGGTTTTCTGTAGCATAGTTGAATACATGATTTATCGATAGTACTCTTCTAATCGATTCTTAATTCTAGTCAGGTGCGAGTCAACACGAGCAACTCACGCCCGCGGCGACGTACTATGCGGTATTTATTTGCCGTCAGAGTTTTTCAACTCATCACGTACGAGATAATCTAAAACGTTATAAAAGACATTGACTCCTATCATCGTACGGCACGTGAGTATCTATCGCTCAATCTGTATGCTTCTGTTCACATCTCCATCAAATCGGTATTAAAATTTGCAACGCAAATATATCTTTTAAATATAATATAGATCGCGTCAGAACATGTAAGTACACATCTGGCAGATTGCTTGCTAAATGACTTAATATCTTTGTCTCATGAATTTTAATTTTTTTAAACATAAGCTTCATATAATATATCATCGACATCAAAACAGTTGGTTTTTTTCTTTCCTGCCATAAATAATGAGATTTTCCATTCTTTCCTAAAAAATACTGATGTTTTTAATGTAAAATTAGCTAAGTATAAAGGAAATTTTGCTTATACGTTTCAAGTCATTTATCTCTCTAGACGGCCTTCGTTATCTCTATCATCATAATTGCATTGTACAGGATGAATAATATCTTTTCCGCTGAAATAGTCAATTTTCCTTATAAGTATTTTTCACAACAGTGTCATTTCAGCGCAAAATTATATACTTATATAAGATAAGAAAAATCTAAGGAATAATTTAAATTGCCTATTTTGACAATGATATATAAATCAAAATCTCTTATAATTAGATGTGTTACTTATGATTTATAATCGTGTCTCTCGCGAGCGGAAATTAATAACATTTTTAAATATGCCATTTGTGCCACTTCCAAAATAAACGGCTCGACTTAGAAATTTGGCCAGTATCACAGGTCGTTGTCGTCTCGAGATTTTCCTCCGAGAGACTCGGAAGATGTTTTCGCGAGACCGGTTCATTATTCTCGTTTACGTTTGCAGACTGTTCTCAGAAGAAGAGACAAATGTATTTTTGTTGGAATATTTCCTCGCGCAAAAAATATACGTACAACGAATATGCACATCTGATTTCGCTCGTATTTCATTCGTTTATTTATTTCGTCGCGATCTCCGTGAAAGAGATTCATCTGATATATTTATATCAAACTGGCGTTGCTGCAAATCATTTTATTTGTGTCAACAGAAAATCTTCATAAAATAAGATGGAAAACTTAAAGGAAGATGCAATAGTTACAATTCGTATTCGCCATTTTTATTCGGCGACAAGCGATTAAATTATTTTTTAGCGATTACCGCCGTGAAATTTAGGTCGAGGGAAGTTTGTCACAGGCCACCTTCAAAAGTGGCGAACACTCGAGTCTACAGTGTGTATCTGTGTATGTATCGCGTCCTGCTGTTTCGCTCGTCGCAAGTGGAATGCCTCAATGCTTCATTGAGAGGATTCTATTTCAACGACACGAATGTGGGAGTCATAAGTGTCGCCGCGCTGTTGATGCTTGAAACCCATTATCGCGTTATTACTTGATAATAATACAATTACGGTAGCGAAGGTGGTCACTGACTTCTAGCTTCAGCGAACGAGGCGATTCTTTGTCCGAAGTATCCTTTTCCTTTCCGCGTGTACTTCATTGCAAGCTAATTAAAGCGAAATCTTTGGAAAAAATGATTTGCCTAGAAAGATAACTGAAAGAAGATTTTTGCAATCCTCATTTTTGCAAAATTGTGCTTTTATAGATTTTTTTATTCCGTCTTGATTTTTCATTAATTGATAATTTTCATTAATTGATAAATCTTAACAAATTTATAGAGAGTTTATGACTTGTGACTAGATTATACTTGATCAGACAAATTCATTTTAATCAGATTATTTTCTCAGATTTCGAATACGCTAAGCGATCAATATTTGATAACCCTGACAATGCAAGTCGCGAAGCACAACCATTGCATTGCTTAATGACTTCTGAGAAAGGGTTCGTGAAATGAATTCGTTTCAAGTACTCTTCTCGCTATTGACTTGAATTTCTCGAGCGATTCTCAACTCGCTGCGGATCTATTTGTACGCTCCACTTCTTTTACCTACTTTTTCGATGAAAGAAACAATAATGTTTTCGTGATAATCTTGTTGAAATATGGGGTCAATGTGCAAGCTCACACCATCACCAGATAATAAAGTAGTAGAAGAGATGAATAGAGAAAGGAAGTAGATTGATTACGGGTGGATAAAAAGTTGATAAGATTATTCCAATTATCTATTTATCCGAGCATTCGAGAAGCTAAGAGCGTTAAAATTTTGTAGTTTAGCTTTAACTTTCGTCTTAGTTTTATTTTTCATTTTTTTTACTTCATTTATGATCATTTAAACTGGGGAAACAATTTACATATAATATATATATAATTCAGAAAAATGCATCAACTATGTAGTAGTCCTGCGAAAGGAGAAAATCGATATTTGCCATAAATGGTACCATCTGCCTCGAGCATGAATAAAACGCGATATTCGTTGTTAGCAACTGGTCTTATTGTAATTATCCTTTACCTGCAACCGATTGGCCTCTTTTTCCGTCAAATAAGAAAACTCGAATCGGTCTCAGCAATGTTCAACTATTTGCAGTTTCTAACGAAGTATAGTCGAACACGGCAGTTTACTTTTTCCTCTTAATTGGATTTATAATCGAAGAAAATAACGATTGATCGACTGATTGTGCAAGTCAAAAATTCATGAATATAAAATTAATAATAAATTAATAATAAATTCGTGAATATAAAATTATTTAATATATGTATAATTATAATTATAATGTATTCTCTTAAAGTGTTTTAGTTTCATTATTTACAATAGCAACTATATCTAAATTTGAAAAAATCTAAAGCAGTGATCAGTACAAAAATCAATGGGAAGATAATTACTAGAAAATTTGGAGCAAAATTACTAAAATAATTTCTAATAATATATATTTTTACATGATTCCAGAAATAAGAACCGAGTTTATTCTCAAATCATCTCTCTATAAATCTCAATGTTCTTTTAAGATCGATCTTTTTCGAAGCTTATATCGTAGCGCAAATACTTTGCTCGATGATTTCCATTCTTCGTATTAACATCTGTGCAGAATAGATTGCAATCATTTGCGCCTCACCTTACATATCGCATATAATGATAAGTCAAGGCAATGGGTGCGTATGTTTTATGCAGATCAGCACATACGCGAGGAACGAGAACTACGGATATCGATAGCGAAACGAGAAGAAAGAAGAAGGATTCGATAACCGAAAAGAAAACTGTCAACAAGTGGGAAGAGACTGAATACTCAATTTACAATCGATTCTTTGAATGTAATACTTATCGCAAATCTCTACGATTTTTTTAACTCATCTTTTTTTTTATTAATTCTTTTTTTTAAATTTAATGAATTGCATTAGATAAATTAACGTAATATTATCGATGAAATATTTGAATGTAACGATTCATCGTTGAAGCAACGAACAGGATAATCCTTCAAAATAAAAATTCATCAATTAGAATTGATTTAAATAAATCGCTTCCAATTGCGTGATGTTGTTTTCCTGACAATATACACACGAGATGAATGTGAAACGAGATTATTATACGAACATGTGGAATTAGCATGAAATTTTAAGAACGTATTCCTTGATTTGGAGACGATTTTATCTCGCAACTTTACTACGCATTTTCTGCTCGAATCTTGCAAGTTTTCGGGCTATGACTTTGATAATTACTTTATCAAGTAAAGTTTTTATTAAAAATTAAACATTTTCTTTATCACTTGCTCAAAGCATTAAAGAAATATACGATAAAAAATTTCATTTACATTTCTAAAACTTTTTTGTTTCCGCTGAAAGATAACTTGTGATAAATAATTGCTCGTAATATTTTTTTAGCCTCGAACAGTAACAAGTATACTAATCATGGTAAATAGTAAATATCTATCGTTTTAGAAGCACGAAAGATAAGAAAATAATCTGCTATGCATACGTGTAATTATATTATAAAGAAAATTGTATCTGTAAAATAAATAATTCTTTTAATAAATAATTCCTTTAATAAATAATTCTATTGACCTTATATTTTCGCAAGAGGAAAAGAGTCGACTCTTCATCGGTTAAAGAATAGATGATTGAATTAATGAGACAGCCGGTACGACGACATCCGAATCCAACTTATCTTATTGTTAGTCTCTACGTCGATTCGTCATCATATTATATCGGCGAACGATAGATATAAATGCACGGAAGAAAAAATGCACACACGTCTCACCTTGTATCTCATCTTCGCGTCTCCTTCGCCGTCTCGTTCTTCCTGAATGATCTCTAGACTCTTAAGCGGCGTGTCTGCAAAAAAAGACGGAAAGAATTATTATTAAAAATGTCCCTGCGTGTCTGGGTACAAATGCGACGACGGGACCGTGAATCATCTGTTTTGCATTGAATAAGAGAAAACGCGCGCAAGAGAATATTCTTTTTGTCTTCTTTCTCCTCGCGCTTTGTGATAATGATACACACGTCCGTCTTTTCGGGAAGACAATAATGTCGCGACACTCTTGTCTGCCTCCCGAAAAACTTTCGTCGAGTTTCAATCTGTCACGACTGTCATATTTTAAATATATTGTACATAAATATATATATTTTGTGTACTGAATACGTGCAAGATATTTGCTTCGTTCAGTTCATCTCGAAAATGCGGGCTCGCAAAAACGAGTTATTAATACATATGAATTTTGAGAGAGAAAGAAACGGATGAACGCGTCGACTTTTACCGGATATAAAGACTTCAGTAGTACGGATGATATGTGACGCTTTCATAATGATTTACCTTCCTAAAATCAGCACGGTACATTAAATAGTTAACGAATCATGCACGGCTTGATAGCTCGATTGTTTCTCTCAAAACGCTTTCATTTCCATAAGACACATATGCATGTTTTCTTGCATCTATATACAATTTTTTTTTATCGGAAAATCTAAAGAAGGAAATCAAAAGATAAGATATTATATACCATATAAGGGAAGTTTATTAGTTAAAGATGCGTGTGTTTATGCGGATATTTCACACCATGGATTTTCATACTTCGACAGGTATTCTCTACACGTCCGTGGAAAGAAAACGAGAGGATTTATCTCGATTAGCGGATTAAACCGCGCGAAAAAGCGTGCACGGCCATCTAATCACGATTTACTGCCTTTTGTGCCGCGAAATTACGTCGTGAAATCGCGAGATTATTATTAAATCGGATGCATCCTGGCGAATCGAGACGAAAGCGTACGCCACTCTCGTTCAGGATCGGTGTATTATAGAATGCATATGCGCTGATATAAATTTTGATATCACAATTATCGCACTGATTATTGACAGTTTTTTTATATTGTCAATTGTTGTATTTAATCATGACAGAAAACAAGATAAAATGAATTATTTACGAAATCATTTTATTCAATTTTAATATTTTTGGCAAAACAGAAAATAAATTTAAAATTATTATAGAATAAAGAGAAAAAAAGGAAATGTATCGAATTCTTTTTGCATTTATTTCGATTTCTCGTAATAGTTCCCATATCGCAAATATCATATATTGAGTTTACACGTGTACTGTATGTATGTTATAGTTTATATTACTTATTTTCAAAGAATCATGATAACTTTTTTTATGGTGCGGTTAAAAAATTCTTCTTGTTCATTTGTACTTATATAATTTGTTGTTTATAATATGCGAGATTTTTTAAGTAATCTTTATAATCTTTTTACGATGCGGTTAATTTTTTCTTGTTCTTTGTTTTCGCTTACATAATTTGTTATTTATAATATTATAAATATGCATACAACATCGACAGCAGTTCAACATAGGTATCATATGTTCTAAAGCAACTTACTGGCCGTTTAAATCCGATCCTGCTCTCGCTCTACGCGATGCTTTCGATTTTGCATCTACTAATCGACACGCATCTCCTGCATGAGATTCAGTGCAACGATTGCGTATAGTCATCTTCGATCATTTAATGCAGCCCGCGCTTAAAGATACAATATTGATCTGATTATAGATGTACGTTTGCTTTTATGTAATAAAATGTCTACAGTTGCAGCCACACTTGTGATATATTACTGTCTAAAAACGAAATAAAATATTTGCGGATGTATTATAAATACGTTAGCTAATGCTCTTTTCAAACGAAATGAAATAACCGATATATAAGTTTCATTCAAGTACTAAAGAGAAATGAAGTTTCTTCTAGCATTAACATAACGTATAGTTCATTATTGATGGAAACAATTTTATGTTATATCATGAAAACCTTTATTTAAATTATATTTTAATTAATTACAATTTTTTTTACTCCAAAGATAATATCATTATTTCGGGTAACAAAAACTTTTAGCACTTTAGTATTTATTAGAGAGAGGGATGCTAAAAACATTTCAGACATATGAATCTTATCAAGGTTCGCATGATGTTGAAGATATAAACGACCAGCGTTGCTAATTTTGAAAGAAACAGTTCCTTTGTACGGACACAGAAAAACTCACCGAGAGGTCGCATAACATGCATGTGTGTAGAAGCACCCGTTTTAAAATCTATTCATAAACGCGGAACGCGCGCATGTTAAAAGAGATGCGCTGCGTTCATTAAAAGACGTTCGTTTCCCGCCGAGAGAAATATCACATAAATTCGAAATTTAACTTCTTTAAAGCGAGACGATACACTAACCGCACTCCTGGCGTCTCGCCAGAGGGTAATTTAATGTCGGAGAAAAGCACTTTTGTTGAAGGCACGCTATTAATCTTCTCCACATTACGTGCATTTTTTCAATTATTTTTCTCGAATTCTTTATATCGTCGACTTGAGATGAATCAATTATCGTACTTCCACATCTTATGTAGTATGGAGAAAATTTTGCAATTTAAAAATTTCCCATTAAAATTTATATATATTTATCATAAAATAAAACTATATTCGCTTCATAATAATAAAATATTATTAAATTATAAATTTAATAAAATATATAAGTAATATATATCGTAATCTTATAATATATCATATTCTTGATAAATTTAGATTTAATATTATATTTAATTAAATATAATATTTTAAAAAATATATATATATTCAATTAATTATATATTATATAATTAGGTATATAATTTATATACTTTCCTTTCTTCAAAAAGAGAAACGAAATTTTAATCACTAAAAAATTTAAGGAAATAAGCTATTGTTATTACGAACATTGTCTTAAGTAAAGTGTGTTGAAAAACGATAATCGCAACACAAGCAAAACTGTGGTTTGCAACGTGAAGGAAGATGCGCAAAAAATTTATCTGAGATATTCACAATATCACAAGGGAGAGAGAAATGCTTTCTCTTCCGATAAATATATAGAACTCTCTAATCTTATCATCATCGAATAAATAGAATACGTAAAACTTTATAAAAATAAATTGAAAGCAATTTATATAGGATTGATAGAATTTTATTAACTCTTTCACAAATTAATAATCTTTTTAAAATGGCTAAATTCGCTAATATTTACATGTAGAATTCGAGAACTTTTAAAGGAGTGTAATAATCCTATTATTTTTACGTAACTTAAATTTTCCATGTTTTGTATTGAAAAATTTGAAACATGCGTCATACGATAACATTGCTAAACTGTGTCACTATCAATAGATGATTATATAGAGAGATACGCTAGATTAGAAGTTCATGTCTTAGACCTTCGACCTCTCAATATACAATACGCGCATCGCGTGTAAATATTTAATGTATCACGTGCACTGTTCCCAGAAAAAAATTTTATATAATGATATTTATAAATAGTAGTATTAATGATAGTAGTATATAATGATATTTATAAATAGTAATATTAATGATAGTAGTATATAATGATATTTATCAATAGTAGTATTAAACGAATTTTGTATAATAGTTTTCTAAAAAAAGGTTAGAACTATAAATGTTAAAAGGATGTTTTTCTTCGAATAATATTTTTCCTTATTGATTTGCAAATTTACTTTCTTGATTATCGAAAGTAAATGCAATCGAGATTTTTACAGGTTTTTTGTTAGGATTATTAATCTCGAAAAAATATATATATTTTGCACTAACACACTTTAAATTTTTTAAACATTATTTTTAAAAATTATTATATTATACATACTATAAATATTTTTCAAAATAAAACGTACAAAATAAAATATATTAAATTCGTTGAGATAGATATTATTCATTTCTTTTTTTGTTTTACCAAAAGACTGGCATCTTGAAGATACATCTCTCTTAATATATCGTGCGATATATCGATTGACAAGTGCTCACCTGTTTGCAGCCTCCCTCGACGAATCTCTTATATACTCATATTAAAGTACTGTGCGCGTGCTTCAATTTTTCTTCCTCTTCGCTCCGTGAAATATCTTCGCAGTAGAAACAAATAGTCGGAAAAATCGTTCCTTTCTGTCGCGATTTTCCTTCTGTCGCCGCAGTCGCCTCACGTCATCCCTTTGATCCCTCGTGTGAGCTTCGTTTCCTTTATTTTTTCTTCCTCCCTTTCTTCTCCCTGAGTTTTAACGGCCGCGTATATCGGTCGCGACGGAGGATGCGACTCGAGGACCGTTAGTAAACTAAACTGAAGTTTCGGCTTGCGGAGGAGCGACTCTAATCTTCGAATCCCCCACCATTTCCGCGCCACGATGTCCCGTCAGGGACGGATCGATTCAGTGCAGTTTAATCAAGCTGTTGCGCGAATTTTCTTCTCGAGACGTTCAAAAAATTGGGAAAAATGTTTTTTCCTAAAATAATCACCTAATCGATATTAAAATACGTCATTATATATCAGACACTCCTTATATATCAGACACTCATTATATATCAGACACTCCTCGATCATTCTTTCGACGATCGATCTCCATATTTTTCGTTTTCAGTATTTTTCATAGATTTATTTCTCTACAAATAATATTTATTGTATGCATCAATCGATCATGGTCAAATGTAATGATCCTAATCACTCAAGATAATATCGACTTCGCGCAAAATCCACCATTCATCATCCAGATTCCATTATCCCGATTTGCTCGAAATCTTTGACGCGGGTCGACAGCGGGCGCCCGATGACGGCGACGCACGTCGATCTCGATCGGTCGACGTCGTAGATCTTCGCGGTTTCTCGGCGGCGCGTTTTAAAGAGACGAGGATTTCACGGTCCGCCGGCATTTGCCGCAAGACCTCGCAGGCAGGAGGTGTACTAGGAGCACTCCGCGCTCGCTCCGGCCACGGGCGCCACTCCTCTCTTCCTGCGGACGCGCAACGAATTGTAATTGGCCCCGGGCTGACTCTCTCGCGGATTAGATTGCAATTTATCTTGGCCTCTTTGACCCGACCGTGCGCTCCCCTCGACCTCGCGCACTCTCATCGGACTAGCCACGCGCATCCTCATCTCCGCGGTCCAGCTCGTTCCTTCGCGGCCATGGACCGGATCGAATGCAAATACCCCAAAAGAAAGCCGCGAAAAAGCCCAGGAGCCATTGTAACGAAGGCATTACACGCCTGCCGAAACGATATAAAGATATCATTGATTAATAGCGATGTGGCCGAGTATGAGATTCGAATGAGTTTGCGAAATATGTAAAAGTGATGAGTTTCAATATATATATATATATTGAATATATATATATAATATATATATATTGAATATATATATATATAATATATATATATAATATATAGATTTTAGATTAAAGAAGCTACTTAAATATTATGTAATTTTAATTTAGAATCTTAACTGTAGCTTAATTGTTGTTCATTTTGTCAGTAATTTTTCTTTTTTTTAATATTAGTTTATTTTAGTGTATATTTTATTTAAAAAATTAATTAGCTTGCAATTTTATCCAAGAATAAAAGACAAATGTCTACATTTGATAGTCATCTGTCATCAAAGTTTACTTTTTATTTCAGGTAAAAAAAATCTAAAAAGTGCAGATAAAGAGACAGATGACAGATGGGTGACAGATTCTTTGTCAGTATCAGGAAATAAAAATCAATATATATTTTATCGATCAATGTAATCGATCGAGTATAACCACTAAAGTAACAAAAAGAAACGATTACCGAATACAATCGAGGAAATTCGCTTTTCCATCGATAAGATTCAATTCGGTTTAATCCGCTTCGTCGAATTCGCTTATTGAGCGTTATTGAGAGGTGTTTTGTAAGAAGAAAGTAATCGGGTGACGCCTCCTCAGTTGTTTTGAAAAACAAAAATATTGCAATCTATAGCATGACCCATATCTCGAGTATATGTTAACATTGATGAGAGCGAGAGTTTGATACGCGTTCATGGTCAATGTAGCACTTTCACGATTTCTGAAAAATGGAAGATCTAGTGCTCTGAAGTATCTTATTAGAATTAATGTGTTCTTATCTGTAGAAAGTTGCAGAATAATATCTTGTCTGCAAATCAAATGATTTTTCGAATTGGATCAAAAGATGCATGACTAATATATAATTATTTATGTAGAACAATTTTCAAGAAATTAATTTAATAATTTAATAAAATTTAATTAATTTAATAAAATCGTTAAGATTGCATTATGTTAGTCAAAAAATACGAAACTTTACTTTAATACACTCACGTTTACTGAATCTTGTTTAAATTTATTACTGCTTATATATCTTGCTTGAATTAAAACAAACACAGATTTCTTCACATTAAAAGAATATTGTCCTTCTGTCAGCAAAATCATCAATCGCAATCGCTTTAGTAGGATAGCTAAAAAAAAATAATCATTTAAATGAAAAATTTTTCGTGGAAAAAAAATTATTATTTTTAATACGATAAAAAAATAATTCTTTTATCAATATAGCTCCTTCTTCTGTTATAAAATAAAAAAATTAAATTAAAACTTTAAAATACTTTCAAATATTGTGAAGAAAATAATTTTAAGAATCATTATATCTTTTAAATTCTTATATTTTTTAATTTAAAATAAAAACACATTCTTTTTAAAGCTAATTTGTCTACGACGTCAGCATTATTAAATATAATCTTCCTGTTAAATTGACGTGTCAAGAAAGTGTTCATAAGCAGATTTTAAGTTCAATGACTTTGTCATCATAACCTGGAATCAATTATTAATCTAACAGACGTCAAAACGTGCATACAAAGAAAAGTAGATACTATTAATATTCTTATCGAGAAAGAATTCCTCCCACAATATTGAATATGAATTATTCAAACATCATCGAAACTGCCAAGACTTACTTGTTATTCTTAATAAGTTATACGAGATTCAGATAACAGATCAAGCTGGATTATTTACGATGCCGTCCCCGATTAAAGTATAAACCTCGAGTTAAAAATTAAACGATGTAATTGACATATTGCGACTTGTACGCCTCTATTAACTGTAGTATATTCGTGTAGCATGTTCATATGCACGTATATGAATGTGTAAATGTATGTACGAGATTAAATAATTGCTCCAACATACATTATGTGACGGTGGACACGGAGAGGACTCAAGACATAAGGTAAATTGACTTAACTATTAACATCAATTTTGACCATAAACGCAATTGAATGTGACGTAATCGATTGTATAGTTTCAAATATGTTTGTCAAATTTTTCAATTTCATACCCTGTAGCATACAAAGTGAAGAATAATACGAAGGAAAATTATGATACCATACAAAAATCAAGTATTTTTAATGCACACCATTACAACGTGCAAATATAATACAATCACTTTTCGTATTATAACTAAAAATACTTGATTTGAATATTGTTTTATAAGTTATTAATATAAGATACAACATATTTATAAATACTTTGTATGAAGTTTTTTTCGGGAAAAAAAATTTCTAGAAAAGAAAAGAAGTGGTAAAATTTTCTAATATGCACATATGCAATGTAGGAAAATTCCAGATAAAGAGAAAAATTATATTTTTACTTATTAAAATTATATAATTTAGCAAAGCTTAAATTATATAATTTTATGTGGGCTGAAAAAAACGAGGAATTTTATTACAGTACAGAGTATCTATCGCTATTTTATTAAAAATGTAAAACAGTTAAAGAGAGCTCCAGGTACAAAGATGATACAGTTCAAAGTACGTACTTCTTTTATCAAGAAAAATGACCCGCAGAGTTGAATTGACAGCATCATATGTCGAAAATAATTGTACACGCAAACGAGAAACTTTCTTTTACGCGTCGTGATATCTGCAATAGGCGCTGTCCTCGATGAGCTCCTGAGGGATCCACTCTTCCGCCGGAAACTGATGCGAAAGAGTCGCCGCATGATTCTCCACTTCCTTGAAAACACGTAACAAATTTCCGCCCACCAGTTTCTTTATATCCGTCGCAGACCATCTACGATCTCTAGTCAACTCAGCCAGCAGCAAAGGGTAACCGGAAACGTCCGGCAATTCCGTCGGTGGTCTGAATAATATTTGCTTTAATCACCTACACCATTTAGATCCATTTGAAGTTTGTACTTCGTTGCACTACATCATATATATAATACAATAAAAAATAGTTCTTTATAATATTTTTGATTTCTTCATCAAATATAGATCTCTATATAATAATCTCTATATAATAAATAATATTAAATTTTCTGATTGTATAGATAAATATGAAATAAACGTGTTTAATGCATAGTACAGACGGAGAGTTAAATAATTATTGTTATTTCTACAGAGAAATATTGAATATTCAACTGCTTATCTTTTTAACGAAATATAATTGAAATTAAAAATTACTAATTAATATAATAAAATATAATTATTAATTATATTATAAATTATCGTTAACTATATAATTATGGAAAATATTTTGAAATTTAAAATCTATCTAGAATTTAAATATTTCAATTAATTAATCAATAAGAAATAGATAAAGATAATATTTTTAAACGAATACTATTGTAATCGGTACTCGGAAAACTATTAAAGAGATGATTTTACGTAATTTCCTTGAAAATGATTATCTCTCATCGAATTACATTGTATCGAATTACATTATAGATGATAAAGATATGATAATATTGACGCGTCTTTAACTACCTCAATATTCCATCATAACCAGCACCGAGACCCACGTGATTTACGCCAGCTATTCGTCTTATGTGATTGATGTGAGCTGTAAAAGAAGACACGCGAGTACGTCGTTGTGTCTTGGTTTCATTCGTTATCTCAAAGTTTTTGATGTTTAACTACGATTTTAATGTTTTCATCTTTTTGATGTTTCTCACTCCGCGATCTACTTACACACCTATGATATCATACATAGAAGCCTTATCGCTGCAGCTCAAATGTGCGCTGTCGAAACTGATCATAACCAGACCACCGTTGAGAGACTAGAACAGTAATAGAGATGAAAGCTGTGCGATTATTATTGGAACAAAAATTATGTCATTCTATGTTACATAATCCTATCTTAAATACATCATCCTATATTAAATAACTTCTTGTTTTGCGAAGTAATTAAAAATTAATTTTTAAGAGAGTAAGCGTGTATAACTAGAAAGAAAATTAGTTTTTTTTAATCAAAATGAATCAAAGAGAAAAATTAACTTCCGGTTAATAATCGCTTAAGAGTTAAACAGATTGATTTAATTTTGTATCTTCCCCTATGATGT